TGGCTATCTACTAACACCTGCTGACCATCTTACTAACTGGTGGTGATGACGAATCCCCGAGCTGAAGTCTGACTAAAATATCAGGTAACGTGTGGGTCTTGACCACTAAGCAACGCTAAGTAGAACTGCTTAGTGAGCTGTCACCTGATTGACAACTGCATCCTGGAACCTTCTAGCTGGTTCTCTACTATTCCGTGGATACTCTGGTATGCATCTAATCTATATCACTATCTGATAAGATAAGATAGGTGTGCACCTATTCTGGAATATTATTTGGAAAACTGTGACACAGGGACCAAATAACTGGTGTACTGGCTTTGTTGGAAGGCCATGCCCATACAGTGGCAGGCAATTATTATTGATTAGTCAAAGAGTCCAAAGATTTGGGGATGTATGAAGATTTCATACACTAAATGAGGTGGGCTTTCATGACTATGGATCAAGAAGAGGACACATATCAAGAATTATTGGGAATGCTCAAGAAATATGATGCTGTAGCAGCACAAGACACTGCCAAATTTATTGGCAAATTTAGGGGTCTAGCAGACCTCATGAAGTCTACTGACACCAAGTTGATCACTGCAATCAAGGATAGATTGCATAGAGACATAAGACATGTCTTAGTGGCATGTGGGAGTTCCCAGTGGCCCAAGTGATGGTCAGAGTACTGTGATTATGTACTTGACATCTGCTGCAATATGGGTGTGCAGCAGTCAGTATCATCAATAGGTCTGGTGTACAAAGATCTGAACACCATGGAGATGGATAATACATCCAAACAGAAGCCATCTGGCTCCAAACAGACTCAACAGCAAAGGAGCACTCCTGATCCAAGGAAGCAACAGGAGGGCAATGCTTTGAGCATGTTGGAAGCACAGAAAAAAGGTGTATGCTACATTTGCAGCAAATCAGGACATTGGGGCAGGATGTGCCCTAATAGGAAAACAGGAGACTCTGCAGCAAAACCCACAGTAGTGTCAAGGTATCACCCTTGACCCTAACTCTTATCCCTAACCCCAACACTCACTTGTGATGCTGGTAGATTCAAGAGGTAAGCAGAGTGCTTGTCTTGGGAGTGGTTAACTCAGAGGAAGAGTAGAGTGAAGTGTACAAAGGTAGAGCTGTAAGAACAGTCTGCCTTGCTACAATGTATTGTTCTGGGATTTTATACATGAGGGACCAGACCCCTAATACTACTGGTAGTACACCTAATACCTACAATGACTGATGCTTGCAATACCCTATTGGCTATCTAAGAATACCTAGCCTGTAAACCATTGTCCTATCCTGGTGTTCAGTCAGTAGTTCTTCTGTGATAATCACCTGAACAACCATGTGTGTTCCTAGTACAAATGGGTAAATCTCATGTGAACGTATGATAACCCATTTGCCATATGTCACCATGCATTACTCTATCCTTTATCTAAGTAGATATCTAATCAGATAAGATGTAGGTCATCTAGACACTTTAAGATAAGATAGACACCATGAAATTCTGTGACAAATAGCAAACACAGCTTCTAACACTGGAGGTCATAAAGGGAGATCAATGGATTTCTCTAAACCTCAGTTTAGAAGGATCCAACAAATTGAATTATCTAGTGACAATGATTTGGATGTAGAGATTCAAGTTGTGCAGAAGAACAAGGGAACTGGCAACCCTGCAAAATCAGCAAAGGCCATTGAAGCGGCAGCTGTTATACCAAAAGTTGTACCTGGCCCTTTAGAGAAAAAACACCAGAAGGTCAAGATCATGAGGATCATTGAACCTTCATGCTCGCCAAGTCTGTCAGGTCATATCTCATAGAATCTGATGAGGATAACAAGCAGGGTTTTGGCAGACACCTATTGTAGGATGTACCAGACATTCAGGCGTCAAACATTCTTTCTGTAATAGTATTATGAAAGACTGGCCAGAAATTTGTAGAATTAGCTGATGAATTGTGTATATTTAATTCATCAAAAATAGAAAACAAATTTACTGTGCCTGTGCTCATAACTGCAAAAGGAAATAAAGAGGTAGAAACAAATGCACTAGTTGATAGTGGTGCATTTTCAACTTTTATCAACCACCAGTTTGTGCAGGAAAATAACTCGTTTGAAGAGGATTTGCCACATCCCTTCACAGTTATAAATGCTGATGGATCTGTAAACTTTGGAGCTTTCATAAAAACTATGGTCATGGCTCATCTCAAGATTGGAGATCATGAGAGTAAGTATGCCTGTTTGGTAATGGACCTTGGATCTAAAGATATGATTGTTAGGATAATTATCTCCAAAAACATAACCCTGAGATCAACTGGGCTGAGGGAACTTGGAAGTTCACCAGATGCTCAGAGTCATGTGGCTACAAAATGAGAAGCAATTGTTCAGTAGAGCATGAGGAGATTTATGAATTAGATCTCCAATACAAAGACAAGATACCTGCAGGGTTTGGAATGATCCATGATTCTGTGGACAACCTTGAGGATCTTGATTACAGTATTAACTGGATACATTATACTGATGAAACCAAGAGTACTGTGCAAGCAATATGTTATGCAATGGATTCTTGTAGAGTTCATAAGACACTTGAAGATTCAGCCATACCTGAACAATACAAACAATTTGCTAAAGTGTTGAGCAAAGAATCTTCTGAGCGTATGCCAACAAGGAAGCCTTACAATCATCAAATTGATATCAAAGATAGCAAAGAGCTCCCTAAACCATTGAAGGTGTACTGTCTTACACCTGCTGAAGACAACAGTCTTCAGGAATGGATTGCCAAACAGTTAGAGAACGGCTATATTAGGAAATCCAAAAGTCCTACTACAGTGGTAGTATTCTTTGTTACAAAGAAAGATGGATCACTACGATTAGTGCAAGACTATTGAGTATTAAACACAGTCACTAAGAAAAATTTCCTGTACCACATATTGGTGATCTCATAGATTGCTTACCACAAGCAAAGATCTTCACTAAGCTTGATCTTAGATAGGGTTATAATAACATGCATATTAGGAAAGGTGATGAAGAAAAGCAGCCTTCATTGTTCTGTATGGTTTATATGAACCTACTGTCATGTTTTTTGGTTTCTGTAATGCACCAGCCACTTTTCAATGGATGATGAACAAAGTTCTCAATCCTGTTATCAAAACTAGCAAGGTGGTAGTCTATCTTGATAACATTCTGATCTTCATGGAAGATCTGCCAGAACATTGTCAATTGGTTAAAGAAGTCCTAAGACTCTTAGAAGAGAACAATCTCTTTGCTAAACCTGAAAAATGCTTTTTTAAGGTTGAAAGCATCGAGTACTTAGGAATGATAATTGCACATGGGAGTGTTTGGATGGACCCAGGAAAAGTCAAAGCAGTCATGGAATGGCCAGTACCCAGGAGGGTTAAAGATGTTCAAGCATTTATAGGATTCACAAACTTCTACAGGCAATTCGTTGAAGGTTTTGCTAAATTAGCCATAGCTGCTCAACATTCCAACAAAGAAGGATCAGCCTTGGGATTGGTCTGATGCCTGTAAAAATGCTTTTAATATGTTGAAGCAAAGATTTACCTCTACTCCCATATTAAAAATTGCAGATTCAGAGAATCCTTTCAGAATAGAAGTCAATGCATTGGACTTCACAACAGGAGCGGTTCTCAAACAGAAAGACAAGGATGGTAGATGGCATCCAGTATCCTTTATATCTAAGCCACTAAATGAGCACAAACAGAATTATGAGATCTACAACAAAAAGCTCTTAGCCATAATTTGTGCACTCAGTAAATGGAGACAATACTTAGAAGGGAGTCCTCACCAAGTAGATATTTGGACTGATCACCAAAACTTGACTTATTTATGTCAAGCCCAGAAGTTGACAAGACAGCAGGCTAGATGGTTGTTGTTCCTCACAAGGTTCAACTTTGTCTTTACCCATAAGCCTGGTCAACAGATGAAACATGCAGATACACTGTCCAGAGACCAGATCATGAAGAGGGGGTGGAACTTGATGATTGCAATAAAACAATGCTGAAACAAGAATATTTAGCATGGCATGCATTACAACCAGACCATGATGCCTTAGTGAATAATAAGGAGGTGTCCAAAAGATATGCAATGCACTGAAGGATGATGAAATTACAAAGACATATTGTGATTTGATGATTGAGAGGCCACATGAGTTCTCAAAAGGTTTCAAACAATGGAATTTTGAAGACAATTTGGGCTTACCGCTATACCAAGGAAAGGTATATGTACCAAAGGACAATGAAATACATAGAATCGTCATCAAACTACATCATGATTTGATTGCAGCAGGATATCCTGGGAGATGGAAGACATATGAGCTACTCTCCAGGAACTATTGGTGACCAGGAATGTTGGTTTATGTAAAGAAGTATGTTGCTGGTTGTGAAACTTGCCAAAGGGCAAAGAATGTTACACAGCCATACCAGGGCCCTTTACAACCAAATGAGATTCCAGAACATCCATAAAAAACAATTTCAGTAGACTTAATCACAGACCTACCAGTATCAGAGGACTATGATTCAATATGCATGATAGTTAATCGATATACAAAGAGAGCACACTTCTTACCAATTACAAAAGAATTCTCAACAAAAAATCTTGCATTGCTAATGTACCAATGGATTTGGACATTATACGGACTTCCAGAGAAGATCATTTTGGATTGGGGAATACAATTCTCTTCAAAGTTATTCTAAGAGTGGTGCAAACTACTAGGAATCAAATTGGCAATGTCAATGGCATATCATCCACAGACAGATGGTCAAACTGAACAAGTAAATCAAAGCTTGGAGACCTACCTTCAGATCTACTGCAGTAGTAGATTATATGATTGGGCAAGTTATCTGCCAGCCACAGAGTTTGCTTACAACAATCAGGTGTACAAAAGTACCAAGGCTTCTCTGTTTATGATGGAGTTAGGATTTCACCCAAAAATGTTACCCAGCAAGTTGCAGGCTGCAAAGCATCCTGAACTGGACAACTATGTAAAGTCAAGGCATGAAGTGCAGGAGCAAGCAAAAGCAGTGTTAGTATTGGCAGCAGAGAATGAAATGGTATTACAACGAGAATGTTACCAAATTTACATTCAAAGTTGGAGATAAATATCTCCTGGATGCTTCAGATCTGAAGCTACAGACATATAATCATAAACTCTCACCAAGACACTATGGACCATTTGAGATAGTGGAACAATCGGGACTGGTGATAGGCCCGTGTAGCGCATGGGTGTGCTTTGAGCTGAAATCAACATTCAAAGTGTTCAAAATGTCTGCCTTTGGGAAAACCTGCGATACCTCAACATGAACACATCTTCAAGCAAAGCTCTTTCTTTGACATATTTGAGACATCACAGCCTCACTACAATCCAATTGGGATCTTTCAAAGAAGGCCTTATTCTGGGAACTCATTCTTGAGGGAAAATGTTGAAATATAATAGTGGCAAATAAACCTTACCTGTGTTGATGACACAAGGCAAGTAAGAAGAATAAAGAGCTGTCTTATAAGTCTGTGAAGACTCTAAGACGAGGATGAGAGAGAGAGAAAAGCACTGTCATTAAGTGTTCTACCTAAGGGGTTTATATACACAGGGAGAACACGACATGTACAAACAATTAGATAATAAATCTAAAGTGGTGCCATACACTAAT